GGGAGCCGCCATGGAGCGGCCCGAGCCGGACGCCGCCTCCGACGACGCCATGGACTCGTTCTTGGAAAAGTTCCGGAGCCAGCCTTACCGTGGCGGCTTCCGCGAGGACCAGTGGGAAGAGGTAGGCGGGCCGGCGGCCTCCGCACACGTGTGGGGGCATCGTGCGGGCACAGCTCTGGCGCCTCCCTTGTCCCCGGACCCCCGGCGCTGTCAGTGGATAGGTTGTTTTTACTCCAGTATTAAAAATCGGCCTCCAGGGTTTGAGAGTCTTCTTAATCTGTCAGTCAGTACATTTAGGAGGCCAGGTTTCGGAGGCAGGCAGACCTGTGACTCCGCCACTTACTGGCTCTGACAGTGGGTCAGTTACTTAACTTCTCAGAGCCGTCTCCCGGGTCTGTAAAATTGCCGTAACTAGAGCATCACTCTAATAGGATTGTGGCGAAGGTGAAGTGCGGGAACATTGAGCGCTCAATTAAAATTACTACCGCTCATGTAAGAATGTGATAACCGAAAGAACCTTTAGAGATCCTTATTCTGCATTCTCATTTTACAGATGGAAAACTGAGCCCTGGATAGGAATCGATATAGCCAATCATGCTTTACAAATCATGATAAGAAAACTTTGATGTAGACTTGGAGTTGGATCTGCTCAGTGGCAAATCCTATTTGTATAGTTCATTTTTCTCTTACCAATCTCTAGGAATTTGAAAAGATCCCCCTATTTATGAAGGAAGCACCGTCAGAAATTGATCCCAAGGAGAATCCTGACTTGGCTTGCCTCCAGTCAATTATTTTTGATGACGAGCGATCTCCAGAAGGTATCTTCCATGACTCTAACATTTGTTTTGTGTCTCCATTGAATTGAGGTAAAGAGTGAATCATTTTGATTTATAACAAGTGGTAGTTAGCATGAGATAACTTGTCACTATTTATTCGACATACAGTTTCTTTGGATACCTACTAAATGTTAGGCATTAGGGATACCAGGATGAAGAAGACTACCCTCAAAGGTCATGCTCCAGTGGGTAGCCAGACTGTCCTAAAGAATCAGGACAAATGTGTGTGATAAGTGCTAATATGTAGCTGTATACTAGGTGCTGGTGGAACACTGAAGGCAGAGAGGTAAGAGTGAGCTCACAATGGATATGAAATTTGGACTGTATCTTAGCAATTTTGTAGGATCTTTACTAGGGTGAGGAGGGAATTTGCATTCCAGGGAATAAAATAACATAAGCAAAAGCAGAAGTATAATTTCCCCCCATTTCTTCAGTAATTAAAAAGTTCTTCAAGAGCTAGGGTAAGTATGCTTTTTCCCTGTATGCTTCCTTCTTTATAAGCACTTAATAATCTACCTTGTAAAATATTTGGAATTGATTGTAGCATTAAGTACACATGACTGTTAATGCCAGTTTTATAGTATTAATTTTTTACTTTTCTTTCCCTATTGGTTTCTTCTGTTTGGCTTATTATGTTTCATCGTTGCATGATTTCAAATATTTTTAACAAGCCTTTTAAAAAATAAGAAATATTGATTATTTCTTTTCTTTGCAGAACAGGCTAAGACCTATAAAGATGAGGGCAATGATTATTTTAAAGAAAAATGCTATGAAAAAGCTGTGATTTCTTATTCTGAAGGCTTAAAGAAGAAATGTGTAGACCCTGATTTGAATGCTGTTCTTTATACCAACCGGGCAGCAGCACAGTACTATCTGGGTAATTTATTCCATTATTAAATGCTTTCAAAAGAGTTAACTTATGATAAAGTCATTATGATGGCTAGTGGAGGGTTTGAGAGTATCAGAAGAAGAAGAGCTGCTTATCCCAGATACCTAGGATTGTTTACTCTAATGGACTCTGATCTTCCAGGTAGACTTGGTAAAAAAGGCAACTAGATAGATTGCATAATTTTTGCTCTCTGAGCCAAATAAGTGACACCAAATACCTTAATATATTAGTTGGTATGATCTGGGGTTTATTTATTTTTTAGCCCAAATGCTTCTATTCCCTCAAAAAAATGTACTCCCCTCCCTACCCCCTGGCCTTTTCCAGGATGCTAGAAAGATGAATGTAATAGAGATCTCTGTGTGAGAGAAACTATATTATCTAAGGGAGAATTTCTCAAAAAATATTCTATGGGACTCTTGAAATAAAAAATATTCTTTGGACAAGTAAATTTGGAAAGTGCTGCTTCTTTGTGGGGGATTTGCAGTGCACATTAGTATGTTAAGGACTCTGAGGTAACCTACAACAAAGAACCTCAAGTTTTGTAAGCCCCCTCTTCATGTAACACTTATTAACAAGCAGTACTGTTCTGCAGATGTGACTTTGGGAAACACTGATTAGTTGCTGGTGACTGGTCTTGGTCATTTAAAACCCATGTATAGAGACGACCTGGGAATGGCCCCTGGCATTTCTGAGGGGCTGGGAGAGAATAAGCCTTGTGGTCTAGCTGGGATGAGTCTGTTGGGATTTATCACCATTTGAGCATAGTTTCTCCCAACCATTGTCTATTCCAGCTCTTTTCTCATTTATAAAATTCTAAAAAGTAAGAATGGTATAGAACTTTAGAGATTATTTGGGCCAGCCAATGAACTCATTTTGCATAGGCCCAGAGAGGGACTCTGGTTAATGCCAGAACCTGGACTAGAAGCCCAGTCTTTGAATTTCTGGAGGAATACATTTTCTTTATTCAGCAGTAAGGATGAGTAAGACCTGAATTTTACTGTGTGCTAGGCACTGCACTGTGAACAAGAGCTACATAGTTCCTTTCCTTGGGGAACTTAAAGGATGTCATTTGTAGGGCTAATAAAAACAAAAGCACCTTGCAAGAAAAAAAAACACCAGAGGAGCAGATGCATAATAGTGAGAACCATTCCTTAAATATGTCACTGATATGGCTTACAAAGCACTTTCACGTTTGTTATCTCTCTTGACCTCATAGCAGCTATGTAAGGTAGGATAAATTCTTAGAATATTGTTGGATCACAATGTATCCACTACGTGCATGCTAATTTGCTTTTTAATTTACCATTAGAGTGCCTTTTCCCCATATCTGGATATTATTTATCTTTAATTTTTACCAATTTCATGTTAATTTTAATTTAATCATTCGTGATGTTGAGCATTTTTTCATGTGTTTACTAGCTAGCCATCTATAGTTCTGTGGATTGGTTGCCAGATGTTATAAGCATTTCTCAGGCTTCTGATGAGCACAATTATATTTTTCTTTCTAAAAACAGTCGCTCTGATTTATATTTATCCAAGATTGTACAATAGTGTCTTTGTCTCTACACATAAAATTTTGGAAATATTCTGATCTTAAAACTTGTTCTTTCTTTTACTAAATGATGTTTCATTAGGCAATTTTCGTTCTGCTCTCAATGATGTGATGGCTGCCAGAAAGCTAAAACCAAACCACCTCAAAGCAATAATAAGAGGTAAGTCTTGTAGAAGTACAGTACAATAGTAATTAAGGAAAAGTTAGCATTTATGGTACCAAAAGTTGAGACATTTTAAGCTTTGATATTAAGGTGCTAAGACTAATGAAGTCACCTTATTTTTGCAGTCTTGATGTTAGTCCTTATGAATAGCAACATGCCATTTTAAAAAGAATTCTCCAGAGAATAATCTAACCCCTTGTGTTTTAAGGATTTGTAGAGAAACTGAAATTCCTCATTTGAAATTAATAAAGAATAAAATTAATTAAAGCAGTTCCGAAAGCCACATTCTAATTTTTTTCCAAATTAGTTGATTGAAAGGTGAGATCTTCAAATGCCATGTTAATGTTAATTAAAAGATAAGTTATAGAACCTTTGCTGATAATTCTGATGCTGAGATGTTTCCTGATTATTCTTTCTCTTGTAGTCTGACCTTTCTGTGTAATAATAGTGCTTTTATTACTTTTTATACTTAACCTTTTTTTTAAGAAGCTCAAAGGTGCTTTGTAAACTTTAATTTATTCCTCAAATATTAATTTTCCCTATATCCTCATGGACCAACTTAAAATGCTTCATCAAAGTATGCTTCTTTAGATATTTATGATTGGGGGTGGTAAGTAGATCCATGTTCCTCATAGGGAAAGAAGGTACTGAACAAAGATTGGCAAGTAAACTGAGTGTAGTACTGTGGAATTGGCCTCAGGCTGGAAGGCTATAATTCTTTTTTTTAAAAAAATATATCTTTATTGATTTCAGAGAGAGAAAAGGAGAGGGAGAAAGAGAGACAGAAACATCAATGATGAGAGAGTCATTGATCGAGCCTGCAACCCGGGCATGTGCCCCAACCGGGAATCAAACCCTGATCACCTGCATCCTAGGTTGATGCTCAACAGCTGAGCCATGCCCAGCCGGGCTATAATTCTTGATTGAATTGTCAGTTTTACCTTACAATATGACCTTGGCAAGACACCCATTCTGAGTATCAGTTTATCTTTGGAAGATGAAGTTGGATTCTGTTGACATCTCAGCATTTACTGTTCTAATATTTTGAAATTCTGTGGAAAGCCTAAAGAGGCTAACTGGAGAAAACTGAGTATGATTAAAGGAGCGGTAGAGTAAACTGGTAGCCATCAAAAACAGTTTTAGAAGAGACCTAATGTCTTTGGTCTTGCCACTGCTTTGATTAATGGCTGAGGAAGAGTCTGTTTTCTTACTCCATTTAGAAAAATCATCTGATATGGGCTTTATTCTTCTCATTAGCAGATGAGGAACCTGAAGCTCAGATATGCTCAGTCCTTTGTCTAATGTCTAGTTGGTAAATGACAGGGCCAGATTTCCAGCCTAGATCTGTCTGCTTCCAAGGCCTGCGCTTTTTTCACAAAGCTGTAGCCTTCCCTACTTTAAGAGTCCTTAAGACTAGGGAAGCTCACAGGAGTTTTGAGCTGAGGGCCCTAGAGACCTTACTGATCTAAGATACAAAAATAGTCTTCCTGGTCTTAGGAATGCAGTACAAGGGTCTTTATCTGTTTTCCCTCCAGGGTGCTGGCTGGTAGCTGGTGGAGGTGGGGGGGGGGG